GAGTAATATGACGATACTTATTTATGTGGTTTCATTGTACAGGTTAGTAGCCAGTGCGTTGGACGCATCGTGTGCATTGTGAATCAGCTCTCGCAGTAGGAGCACAATTGTATTCTTGTTTCTCCTCCTGTTTACCCATTCATTGGCCGCATGAAAAATTGTCACTTAGCCAAGTATCGCGATCCTATGAATATATCTCTCGCATATCCGCAAATTATCGCGAAATGAGAAACACGAGTCGATCTATTTATTCCCATTTTATCTCGTATTTTCTTCGCGCTAGAAAAAAATTGAGCAATTGCTTGCGAAAGAACGGAAGCAGAGAAACATATCTAATAAGGTAAATGACACAGTCGTGTCATCCGAGCTACTCTATCGCGATAATGCAAGCCGTTCTCGGTAACTTTTCAAAGTCTATAATACCACCACTTTCTGAAAACGTGGTATCGGTGAAACTCCTTCAACTACCCCCGTGAAGTTGCTCGTAGAAACTACGCAGTTACGCTCGGGTGTCGCTCCGCCGTGTCATACGCGTCTCTACGAGTCGCTCCGAAGTGCATACAAGCGTGCCGCTCGTTTGTGTGCGTTCCCTCTCACTCTCTCTCCTCGTCGAGATCTCATTGCTACATGCTACACGCTTTGCTTACTTCGAAGTGTTTCGCGTCGGATGCTCGAAAGGAAAACCTCTTATCCTTGAGAGAGTTATCCTTTTTTTGCGGGATATACAAGACCGGAGTAAACAAAACGAAAGAAGGACGACAACGGAAAGAGAGGTTACAAACCTGGTGGTGAAACAGCACGCGCGGAGCATCGGGTCACCCCGTAGTCGAATGTCGAATCGATGCTTCATCGGCGCGTATAACACCGGGACACATGATGGGCCACGCTCGGTTTCGAAAGTTTTGATTTTCCTTCCATCTTTCTACCCTACTTGACCCTAACCGGTAAATTTACAACGCGATCACACATTCGTAACGTTCACATACATTCAACCCCACTAGCGACCGTTCTTTTCTCCCTTTCCTCGCGCTGCGACGCTCGAGTTCGGATGCGCGCGCATCGTTCCCCCACCACCGGGGCAACCGGCTGCGCGAGGCGAGCGGAGTGGGGGGAGTCGGTTGCCGCCGCGAGGCAGAACGTGCGGACCGAGTGGCTGAAACGAAAGCACAGAATCATTATTAAGCCAGACCTCGAGGAGTCCAGACGTGTTTCTCGTCACCTGAGCTCAGTCGAGGGTCTTTGTGTTGTTTTGCTTTCGTCTTCTGCTGATACGTGTGATAACCGCGCCAAAGAGAACAATCGCGAGACGTAACGTGTTACAACATCGAGCGTGTGAGAATCGAAGGAAACGGAGTAACGGACGAAAGGGAAGAAGTCAGTTTCCCTGATCTATTCCCTATCGCGCGGGAATACATTTCGTTGGTGCTCGGTGTTAAAGAGGAAAGCGAACTGACGTTTTCGCCGATAGACTCGTACTCAGTGCATCGTATGCTATATAACGTTTAATCAGAGGACATTGAACTTTGTGCCATCGTTTCTGAACTGTCATTCGGGGCCGCCTCTCAGTTCGAGATCCGTGCCACTGTATTATTACATCTGGCACTTCGATAATCGAACGAACTTGGTCGATCGTCCCACTCATGGAAAGTGATCCATTCGAGGATCCACCTTACAGACGTTTCAGACGACGCGATTAAGAGACAGCACGCGTCTCCGGCAGAGAAAATTATCTGAAAGACTGATCGCGTGGACGGTCGATCGTGCGCATATCGAAATCGTTGCAGATCCACGCGTTACCCATTCTCGTCGAGCTGCATCACGCGTTCCACGTTGGGCCACGTGCGTTTTCTCCACGGACAATCGGTGGCAAACGATAGAGAGAGAGTCTTCGTAACCGCGCTGACGAACATTGAGCGTGCGCCGTCGAGGCCCGAAGTCACGTGTGTTTCGCATCACGAAATTATACGTTTCTGCGCCGGAACTCGGCGGAAAATTCGTGTGGCCGCGATCCTCATTGACTCTTTGAATCGCCGATATATCGTTCGATGTATGTGCGTACGATCGTAAGAGAGAAAGAAGCCGGATAATAACGTATATAAGATAATCGTATATAAGAAAAGAGCGTAAAATTTCAAAAAGTGCTAGTGCTTGATCCACGAGCATTAACGTTCGATTACAGTGTCGAGACGAACGCAGAGAGAGAACGCAGCAACTGAGAACAGTGCATCTGCCTTTCCACGAAGAAATGGCGATCCCATTTGTAATGCCGTCCGACGACGAAGCAGGAGACCAGGGACAGCGGTTAGAGCAACTGATGCTTGATCTGTACGCCGCATTGCAACAGGTCCTCCGAAGCCGGGCCGCTCAGCATGCATCACGAAATCGTGAGTCGAACGGTTTTTTAAATCTCGTTGGCACCTATCTCGAGATTTTCCTACTTCTCCTTCTACAACGAACAATGTATCGCAATGTATACTGATCTGTATAATCTGTCGCGTCAACTTGAGTTTATATCGTAGCAGAAATGGACGATCAATCGACCAGCGTACTCTACGTGGTCATGCGACTCGTTGTCACGTGGTATGGCCACGTTTTTCTTAATTTTTCCATTTGGCCCCGGCGCTATGGCTAAGATGTGTCTATGGGTTAGGAAACAATCTTACCACGATGCACTTTCGACGGCTTTTCAGGAAGACGCATTCGCCGGAGACCGGGCAATTAGATACGATTTCATGAGAACCACGATATCGTCCGCGAGACGTTTTTCCGATCGTCTACACAGAGGCTGGTGGATCTAGTCGAAACAAATATATTGATATGAAATATAGTTACACAGAGAAAGTTATGCAAAGAAAAAAAAAAAAAAA